CATCATTAACATGACTCAGAATATTTGGTTCTTTCTTATACGCTTATTATATTCTCTCATCCATAGGGCATTATTTGTACAAGGTGAATCAACGATAGAGTAAAGTTCATTATAATAATAGTAATTCATAAATGAACCTAATGGTTTTTCCAATATTTTAATTTTTCCAAAAAATACTAGTTGTCGCACCTGCAAAAAAATAACGGTATTCAAAATAAACAAATATATTTGTATCAATTTAAATAAAAAAATCTCCATTTTCACTGAGAAATCTTATAAAAACCACGTCTTTTATTGAGTACGTATACTTATTTTTAATACTATCTCAATATTTACCTTTCTGTCTGTCTTCTAGACCGTGATTTTGAATATAGCAATAGAGATCTATCCAAATTATTTGTCTAAGTTAATGTTTTCGCAGTAATGGAGCAGTTAATTGCCATCACATGCATTATTATTTAACAGTTAATCGTTTCTAGGTAAGGGAAGTGCAAAACCAAAACCATTGGTCACTTAATGTGTGGCGTGGAATAAAACACAGTTACGTATTTATTGTGCGTACTGTTTAGATGTCCTCTTTGTAACTAGTTTAGAACCATCTGGTTTAGAGATATGGAGTTTGTTGGATAATCTAGAACCGGGGTGGATGTCTGCTCTAAAACTTAATCAATAAAACTTTTTTCTGCCTTTTTAACGGTTACAAGAAAAACGTTTCACAAATCAGGTTAAAACTTTTTTTATTATCATTATTAATATGTTGTTTCATTTTATTTTGTTTATTTTATATAATTTTTTTACAGTGGTCGTTCTGTTAGCATTGACTGCGCCATTATGTACACATTACAGTTTGCAGGTCCACTTGTTTTTCCTTAATACAATAAATAAAATTGAAAATTGAAGTAGGCAGCCGCGAATATTTACTGAAGCATGAATGAAATCTAAAAATCAAATAGTTATGATACATGATAAATCATAAAAACCTGATGATTTCCAACCTAGCGGACAAATGGCTGCAGATGGCCAATTTTAATTTGTTGTTCATGAAATTCGAATGCCAAATAAGGTGTGTTTCCATAACAAAACGAATGATTGGCCCATTCTGAACATTATCTTTATTAATTTATTTATAAACCCAAATGCTAACCAAGAGGCAGACGAGGCTGCCCAATTACAGGATAGCGTATATTAAACATAAGATTACATGGTCGCAAATACAAAAGAAACCTAACTGTATGTTTCCTAAGCTAATAGATAGTAATTAAAAGAATTTTACAAAATTTTGTATATGTGTCTTTTAGACAAATTTAGGCTTAAGTTGAATAAGTTTGTATCTTCGTTGTTAGGTAAAACACAGTTTGCGGAGAGTTTGAGAAGTAGTTATATCTGATTCTTTCTATTGAAAAAGTTAGCCCAGTGAGCACTCGATAAGGAGTAGCATTAAAATAAAAGTGACTTGTACAAGGTGACTCAATAAGATTGTTTCCACTTTTATGCAAAAAAAATTACGCCTGGCAATTTCTGCGTGTTTCAAGCAACCTTATAAAACTGTAGGTTATTTATATATATATATATATATATATATATATATATATATATATATATATATATATATATATATATATATATATATATATATATCTAAAAATAAAGTTTCTAAAAATCTTTTTTTGGACACTCTCCATTTATTATCTTTAGTGCACGGAAGTAATTTAAAAAACTTTCACACCTTGAGCATAGTGGTCCCTCTCTTGCATGCGGAAAAATCGATTTTCCTGTTTTTTTAGGAAAATTGCTTTTTCCACGAGCGTGTGGAAAATGCGATATTTGGCATCGGCATGTGCATGTGCTTTTAGGTGCATTAATTGCTTTGGGAAACGGAACAGTTAACAGTTAAAAATTACCATGTCATCTCAAATTCTAGCAGCGATTATCACGCTTCACTGTTGAAACAGTATACAGGATACTATTTATAAATCATCTCGATTTCTTCTAAGTCGGTAATTTATGAATCAAACTTGCTAAAGTTTTGCCAATCATCATGTTGGCTTCTTCAGAGCTTAACTGAAACTGGTCAAAGGTAAAGACCGTTGCTTATAGATTTCTATGGATTCTCGAAGTTTGCTTTTTTAGAAAAAATGATTACATGCTAGAATTCTAGTTTTATCGAATAAGATTCAATGTTCGGTTTCATGACTGTGATCGGCAACTGCTGATGAGTTTATTTGTCGTAGTCTTCCTTATGCTTTGAGCATAGTTCATATTTTTCATCCGGTCTCTGCAATGCCATGAAATGCTGTAAACTCTCGGTATCTCAAACAGAATTTTACGGATCGAAGATGACATAATATCTAAGAATAGGAGATTATTGCTATTTTCTGATTCAATGGTAAATAGTTAAGAAAATTTTGGAAGGATTCTTGACCATAACAAAAGGATCATCAATGTAGCGTTTGCAGGGCTTTCTTCTTAAAGGCTTCTATAAGAAAACCTATACGTTTGTTTATAAATTTGACCGTGGCAAGAAAAACATGTTCCAGACAATCATTTTTCACTTAAGATGGGGTTTGGTTCCAGATTCTGGGATTTTAATATATCAGAAATAACTTTAAGAATTTCAGGAACAGGGACTTTAATAAAGAGGGATTCTATGTCAAAAATAACCAGAAAATCATTTCAATGAAATAAAAGGAATGAAGTACAAAACTATCAGTTTTCCCTGTAACATGAAAGCGAAAAATATGAATTGGGCTCCAATAGCATGAAAGTGTCTTAGGCCTACGACAAATAATCAGCAGTTGCCGAACATATGATGAAACCGGATATCAAATACCAAATAATCTTAACCACGACTCAAGTCTTTACTTTCACTCTTCATGCCCCTCGTTTAGCTTCGCCTCTCCAAAGTAATATACAAAGAGGTATAGAGTAGAATGCGATCCAATGTCAGTTAAGCTCTGGAGAAGACAACAGGAGGATTGGTGAAACGTCAGCAAGTTTTATTTATAAACCACCGATCTAAGAGATATCGTGAACATTTGTAAATAGTATATTTTTTAAGTTTTTCAAAATTTGATCGTCACGTTTGACAAAATGTTAAAAACTAGGCTTAAATTTGAGTTTTTCTATTGTTCTAAACATTCACATCGTCAAAGTCGTCAAACCGCAACTTTTCAAATGGGATACCAAGTAATTTTAAGCGTTATCTAGAACTTATATCTCTATCACATCCACAGGGTTGCCTATAGCTATTCCGAACCATATCCGAAAATATTAGGTTTTCGATAGTATCGTATTCAAGTACGTGGCAATGAAAAAGCAATTATTGTGTTCTGTTGTCAAACATGCTAATTTATTAGTATCTCGACATCTGTCCTAACAAAGTAAAAGTATAAATTTAGTATGAAAGAATACTCGTCTTTTTAAGATTTATTTTAATTCGACAGGTACGAGCCGTTGCATCTGAAAAATAATGGTCACTTGTAACTTTTGTGTCCTTTTATTTATCATGATAAATAGTGCTACACGAAAACATTTGATTGTGATTTACATAATATAAAAGGTGTTTTTTAGGGGCAACCGTTTTTTAACTGGCAGCTATTTTGTCAGCAGTGATTTATGTCCAGTTTGGTTTTCCATTTCAACGTAAATAGACTGACGCCTGAACAACGCTTCATGGTTCACAGCACTTTACTATGAAATGTTTTCGCGCTACGTTTACTTTAAATGATAATAAGTCATTGCTGCTGTGGAGCGTAGCGTAGAGGAAGACTGGAATCAGTCTATCTGCCATAGTGCACAGGTTTTGCGGAAGATCTTGGTTTGCATGCTTACAAAATCCAGTTTGTCCATGAATTGAAGCCACACCAAGGAGTAGACGAATGGGCCCAAAACAAGATTGCTGTTGATCCCAATTTTCATAAGCGAATTTTACTTAGCGATGTAGCTCACATTTGGTTGAATGGATACGTCAAAAAACAGAACTGTCATATTAGGAGTAATGATGATCCTCAAATGTATATTGAGTCCCCGTTACATCCAGAAGAACTGACTGTTTGGTGTGCTTAATGGACTAGTGGTATAATTGGTCCGCCACGATTGCTGACTTTTTCGTTCATCAATTGAATAACTATGATGTGAAGGAGCTGTGGTTAAATGAAACGTTTGGTAACCGCATAGTTTCACGTTTCGGAGCCGTGAATTGGCCTCCAAGGTCGAACGATTTGACGCCGCTAGACTATTTTCTATAGAAATATGTGAAGTTTCAAGTCTACGTCGATAAGCTCGAAGCGATTAACCACTTGGAGGACAACATTCGAAAAGTTATTGCCGATATACGGCCACAAATGTTGGAAAAAGTTATTGAAAATTGAAATATGGAAAAGTGGTAAGTATATGCCAGAAGTATATTATAATGCCAGAAGATTATATTTCGAATAAAGTAAATTTCATGTCAATTTAGTCAATTTAAAAAATTATCTTCAATATATTACATTTCAAGGTTCTATGCCCCTAAAAAAACCGTTAGAATCATATTGTGCCGTACATCGTTGTATTCGTAATAAAAAATGGTATTTTATACACGGTGTAGCTTTTTCACGGACCATATGAATCACTTAAAATGGTAACCAAGAAGTGACTTAATATTTATATCTCTTTAAATCATACCAGAAAAAAATAAAAACGAAATGGGAAGTGATGGGAATTTTTTAGTTTTCACAACAGCATGTCGTTATCCCTTAAATTGTATATAAAATGGGCCATTGTCTGTCTTTAAAAAATATTTAAGCATATATATTTCAAATCTCTCTGACGAAACTTTCCTTTGTAATATTGGTATTAGTGAATAAATAAATGTCTGCTCGACTCTGCACTCCCTTTGTAGTGAATTATTAAATATACAGAGGAACGGCGTTGTAATAAAATATATCCTTCTATCGACGCCCCCGACGAATTAGTAATGCCGTTAACGATATTATTTGATAATCGATACGGGTACTTACGTTGAGTGTGGCTCCCGCGATGGAATACGATATGAAGGGTGGGTCACGTCCTTTGATGTAGACAAATATTTTGCTTTCGCCCTTCTTCCACACTACTTTGTGCAGTTGCTCGGGAGGCACGCTGTGCTCGCACGTCATTATCACGTGTCCGCCTCTGGTCGCGTAGCGGGGCATTATTAACTCGACGCGGTCGATATTAGAGAACACCGCTGCAATGACACGGAAAATTTTATTATAATAATAAATAATAAATAAATATGTCTTTATTTTGCACCACAATTCAACGGAAAATGCCGAAGATCGGTTGACTATTTTGCTAGTGAAACAGGCCCTGTCTGTCATCCGAATCGGAGAAAATATAGACCATTTATTGAAATTCTAATATCTTAAATAACTAATAGAATATATAGACAGAAAAATATAATAATTATGAATAAAACAAATAGGATTTAGTAATGGACTTTTATTAATTCTTGAAGCATTCAAATTTGCTTTTCAATACTACGTTATATTTTTATTTATTTATTTTTTAATACTAATTACTATTCTGCAGTTGATGAACATTGCTCGGATAAGAGGGTCTATTAAGGTTTTCTAAAAAATATGACAAAGTTTTCTGCTTGAGTGGATCAGAATAGTTACTGTACACTTAACTGATTTGAAACGAAAATGATGTTTTCAAATTTCTGTCTTGTGTCTAGGAATTCCCATCCCATAATTATCGTATCTGGCTTCATTGGCACACTTTTGTAATACAGATTAATTGGCGCTTTGTTTAATACGTTTTTATGAAACATACACGCTGCACGGGCAATTCTTCTACGTTTCATATTCAACCCCCTGATGTTACTGTACATAATCTATTGACAAATACTTTGTCTTCATCTGATGCTACAAATAAATCTTGGAGATGAATTTTGTATTACCTGAATACTCGTACGTCTGAAGAATACAAGCAGGGTCCATAAATATCTTCTCCATTCAATGAATTTTGTGCTTTTCTTAGTAATGTGTGCGAGTCCAAACCAGTATAGTCTCTGATGTTCTTCAATCAAGAGCATTGTCGACGTCCGGTACCACGGGGACCTTCCTTTATGAAATTGTATATAATATGTCTGATGACCGAGATACGCTGTTTTTCACCGAGATACGCTGTTTTTCTTTTCTTTGGTGTATCAAGCAGCTCCCGTTTCTTGTTCTCTCGATATAGAACTTCCAAATTTCCAAATCCTTAACATTCTGCGATACACTCACATCTCAAACCCTTCCAGCTTATTCACTGTGCTTACTTTTAATGTCCATGACTCAACACCGTAAAGAAGTGTCTGAATGCTTAGACTGTTGTCGCAGAGAAGGTTTCGCATCTTTAGGAAATTTGTCTTTATCATTTCGATACGTGCTCTAATTTCTATATCGGGATCACTTATTCACTTATTCAACTTCCCACATATCTGTTCCATCTACAGTCATGTTCGTGAGTTGGTTTGGATAACGATTTATTACCATAACCTTTGTCCTTTTTGTATTTATCTTAAGGCCCATCGAGGTAAGGATATCAATCTACCGTTTACCTTTATGCCGTCCTCTGTTCCCTCGAGTACACTTTGAAATATCAACTCTGAGTACATATTAAAAATTATATTACTCAGCACACACCCTTGTCTAACTCCACGTTTTATGGGTATCGTTGTTGTTTCGCGGCCTTCTAGTCTTACTGACACCACTTGATTCATACAGCCGTTTATTTTAATTTTAATTTTAAAATCTCGAGAGTCTGGGCTTCTACTTTTAAGAATGCACAGTAATTTCTTTTGCGTGACGCATTTAAAGGCTTTTGTGTAATCTATGAAACACATGTATACTTCCTTCCTTTGGTCCCTACACTTCTGCAGAAATACTGACAGTGCAAACAAGGCTTCTTTAGTCCCTATTCCCTCACGAAATCCCATTTGTTGTTCGCTTATATCTTGTTCACATTTTTGTTGAATTCAGTTGTGTATTACCTTCAAGAACATTTTCAAAGTTTGACTCATTAGATTAATTAAACAAAACTTGTCGCACCTTGTAGCTCGAGATTTTTTTGAATTTTTGGTTTTGAGCCAGTCTTTTGGCAGTTTTCCGGTTTTGTAGATAGCGTTAAAGAGTTGTACTAAATTTTTTAAGATATTTGGGCTTATTGGTTTCATTAGTTCTGGGTAAATGCTGTCCGGATCGGATGCTTTTCTACTTTTAATGTACTTTAGAGCCTTCTCTGATTTTATTTGTAATAAGTCTGTGAGTAGCTTTATATTTTTTTTTGGTTTATGTTTTTAATGCTGAGCTGTTTTGCCATCAATTCTAGGCTTTCTTGAGTCATCCATGTTTTGTGATTTTTCGTGTTATCGTCAGCCATTAATTGTTCTTGTGTATCTAGTATAACATTTTTAAATTAGTGCCAAGTGTCTTCTATGTCAATGTTTTCTGGTGTAGGGACCTGAGAGATGTGTTGAACCCCATAAATATCGGTAGTGAAATCTTGACGATACTAAAGATTCGCACACATTTTTTTTAATCTTTTGTCTTAAATTTTGTAGTACCTGACAAATTTACTTCAGATTCATGTACGCCGCTTTAACGCAATTGTTTATGTGTGGTTTAAATCTCAAAGAGCGGTCAAATGTCAATCCAAGGTTTCTTGCCTGTGGATCGTTATTTTCACTTTTAAGAAAAAAACTTGCTCGCGGAGTTTTTTTGTGGCAAAAATCATTACATTAGCTTTTTTGGCAATTTATCTTGAGAGAATGGTTATTTGATCAATTAACTATATGTCTTACCTTGGACATATCCATTGCCAATAAATAGTGCCCGGTGAAAGAGATATATGCAATTCAATATAATCCGCATAATTCCTGGTTTGAAATACCTAATAAGTAAGTCCAGTTTATCCATGTAACAAATATAAATCAGAGGTCCTAAAATTGATCCCTAGGCTACTCCGGATATTTCTAGAATGCGAAAGATGATTATTATGTTTAATTGTTTGGGTTCTCCCTGACCAAAAACTCTGAACAAGATTCAAAGGTGTATTAGATAAAACTATGTATTTTAGAATTGCTATTGGAAGACGGTGGTTGATCGTATCAAAAGTTTTTGTGAAGTCTAATACTACAACCGCTGTAAGTTGAATTCGATCGTGTTCACAACTACAATTCTTCCTTAAACCACTTTGATTTGATGGTAAAATATATTTGTCGTCCAAAAATTTTCGAAACTGTTTTTCGATGACACATTCTAATATTTTTGATAGGGTACACTGTATTTTGACCGGACGAAGATCTTTAAATTTCTAAGGACTACTGCATTTTGGCAGAGGGCGAACCATTAGATGAGCATGGAAAAACACCAGATGTTAGACTATAGTTTACTACGTGCGTAAGGAAAGTTAACATGTGTGGACAACACCAAAGAATAATTTTTAAGTTTACACAGTCGGATCCGTTAGCAGTAGATTTTAGATCGTACACTATTTTTTGTTGGTCGTTTGTTATAGATAATGATATTGGGTTTTATTCGTCTTAAATAACAAATCCAAATAACTTTTGAATAATTGTCTTATGTTTAATACCTTATATTTTTGATGCCGCTTCCGACAACTGCAATATCATTCAATTTTATGAAGTAGTACAATCGTTTATCATACATTTGCCTTGAGGATTCTTCGAATCGTTCATACGGGATGGGTCATAATGAAAAATAGAAATTTTCATGAAAAAGTCAAATAAAACATCCTGGGTATTATACTTCCATTAGTTACTAATATTAATACCCTTTCAATTTTTTTAACCATATATATATATATATATATATATATATATATATATATATATATATATATATATATATATATATATATATATATATATATATATATATATACATATATAACGATTTCTCTGTTAACTATTAAATCATTAGTTAGAAAAAATATATTTAAATTATTGAATTCCATGTTGTGGTGGTGAAAAAAGGTGAAAATAAAATATTTTATAGCAAAAAAAAGTTTTTCAAAAATGCACACTATGAAACAATAACAGATCTTCACATGCGGTTGTTACTATTATATTTTTTATAAAAATTTAACCCTGGACGCTGTTACGATTTCATCACAGATAGTCTCATGAAAAGAGTTTCTCCTGCTATTTTCCTACATCTATCTGAGCTTGAAAAGTGGACATTTATTAGTTTTTTTTTTTACTATAAAATTTATAAATAACTTTCCATTGTAAACCTTCTGGATTCCACCTGCGTCCGTTTTTGTTGACTCGATCTGGCTAACGTTTCGCCAATCATCCTGTTCATCATCATCCAGGTTGACTGAAACAGTTTCAGTTTCAGCTAGTTCGAGTCAACAAAAACCAACGCAGGAGGAATCTAGAAGTTTTATAAAAAGTAATACCGTAGCCTGTGGAAGTTCCTTTGAAAAATTAACTATCCATTGTTTTTCTGTCGTCATTACCGACTTGTTTCTACTTATTTCAAAAGCAATTATTTTTTGCATTTTTGATTTGATAACGATTTTTACAACCGGTATATTTAAAATTTATCTCATTTAAGGAACATTTCATAATTCAGAATCATGATAATAGTCCTGCTCGTGAGTACTATAATATTGTCCCGTTAACTAATAGACTAGCAGATACAATTTTTCAATGTTTCATCAAATATTCTCAATATATTCATGTCCCCCATATAAGAACTAATTTTGGGCAAATTGTCCATTCTGTAGAATAGTGGAAATATGGAAATATGAGGCCAAAAACTTTTTATACATATATATATATATATATATATATATATATATATATATATATATATATATATATATATATATATATATATATATATATATATATATATATATATATATATATATATATATATATATATATATATATATATTCTCACGTATTGATTCATGAATGGAAAAATGTGATGACACTATATTCCGGGATATCATCCGTTCGCTCGTTGAACTCCGACTGGAATCCTGCATCTGACTGGAATCCTGCAAATCCTGCATCCGACTGGAATCCTGCAGACGTTTCGCCAAAATCTCACTTGGCATCTTCAATGCTCGCGCTCCGAAAACACCCAGTGTTCGAAATGTTTTCGAATATATATATATATATATATATATATATATATATATATATATATATATATATATATATATATATATATATATATATATATATATATATATATATATATATATATATATATATATATATATATATATATATATATATATATATATATATATATATATATATATATATATATATATATATATATATATATATATATATATATATATATATATATATATATATATATATATATATATATATATATATATATATATATATATATATATATATATATATATATATATATATATATATATATATATATATATATATATTATATACATAGTTTTGGGTAGACATAGTTTGTGTGATTCTTTTTTGTATCTTTGTCCTAGAACTCTTCTTATTTAATTTAACATGTAATTTTGTAGGTACCGTTTGGGTACCTAATATACATATAAATAAATACATATTTATGTTTAAAGTTATTTTATAAATTAGGTAGATAGGTAAAGAAAAATACTTGGGATGAATTTTTCGGCGAAAGAAACTTTATCTTAAAAGAACCGAAAAGGATGCTGGATACGGCGTTTTTCAAGAGGCGATTCTCGATTTTCTCGTTTTGCTCCATGTATTAACGATATATTAAAATCAATGGATTCTCCAACACGCTTTGCTGACAGCACGATCGTTGAATATTGTGGCCTGTATATGACAGCCTTACTATGCGCTGTATAAGACGCAAAAATTGCATAGAGTTCATTTTAATCTTTGTAGACAGTAGAAAATTTATGAGATCATAATTTAAAAAATAAAAAGCAGGTTTGAATATATCAACTTTTTTGCAGAGTTTTAATTTTAGGTATTTTTTCGTTATACAATCTAATATTTACGTGATTTTCTCCAGAGAAGTTGGTTGACATGTTTAATAGTCATTATTGCCTCGGTATACTCAATTTATGATGGTATACTTGTAATTTTTTTAAGAAAATTGAAAGTTTGTTCTGTTGCAAGTGTTGTGGAATATTTATAATTAATAACTGAATACTGTCACAACTGCTTGGAAAAAAGTCTTTTGTCACGCCTGTTTTCGAAAACAGAGATAAATCTGATACAAAAACTATCACGCAATATCATATATTTCTTCAGAGATAGCTTCTGGTATTGCCCAGGGTGCACACTTGTCAACACTTCTTTTTAATTGTTTTTTTTTGTTGTTTTTAATTTACCAGGTCTTTCACATTAATTTTCGCGGAACTAATTATTGCCTTCATGGTCCAATATGAAGAATGTGCATACTAACAAATGATGTGGTGATATGATATGCAGCTGTGATATAGTTTTATTTAGTGATAAATTTCGTAAAAAAGTAGGAACGTAGTCTTGTAATCATCTTTTCATAAATATGATATGTGTCAAATTTTCTAAGGCTTTAGTAATGTATTATTTTTGGTTACCGAACTACTTTCATAATGTGACCTCTATATTTGAATAAACGCTGTAAATGCTATACATGCGTAAATCATATTTTGATTTAATTTCATAACTTTTTATTAACTAATTATTAATTAAAAAGTAAAATTAAATACCAAACAAGTCAGAAAGATATACATCATACATATTTAAATTAATTGATGACACAGTACAGCAATATGTGTGGGTGACTCGGAGGATAGTATTTAGGAAACTATCAACACTAACTTAATTAATATAAAACAAAGGCTTCACTTGAATGCAGAAGTATCTAGCTAACGGGTCAACAGATTTGCTTTAAATTAAACGGGGTGATGTAAAAGTAGGTGCTCTATCATGCAAGGATTAGGGCATTTTCTGCTGGTATACGATTTTAAATTGAACGTACAGGGTGGTTTAAAATTAATATGTTGTACGGGAGTTCTAGAAACAAGGGTTATTGCGTTTTTAAAACTCCACTATATGTCTATTCTATCATTTACGAATTCTAGAAAAGAAACTAACCAAATTATATTCAAGTTTCTCTATACCTCTCCGTCTGCCGTCTTTGAAGTAAAAATTAATTTTTACACAGTATAGCACTGCATTTTAAAAAAAGTTTCGCACACGGGCAGAATAAACTTCGTAAATCCTCATTATGATTTAATTTGAGTTTTCATTTCAACTATTTCGCTCTTTAATTATAATAACCTAACAAAATCTGAAAAAGTCTAACTAATTTCAATAATGGTACAGAGAAACCTGAACAAAATCCACTTTATTTTTTGAGTTTTTGAGAGGTTTTTCTATTTTATATATTTATATGAAAACTAAAATTTAATGAAAAACTTTGTGATCCAGGGCAAGTGCTGCCTTTTAAATGTCCATATTCTCATTAAAGAATGTTGGTACGTTGGTATGTTGCTACACATGTCCCAAACATATGTTTTAGCCAGTTAGCATGTTTACTTTTTTTGTGAGACAGGAGCGTTAGACGTGTTGTGTGTGATCAGCGATTTTCTGCTGTCAAAATCGTGACGTAGTACATGATGAGTTCTTACCACAAGGGCGTACGGTCAATGAAGTAAATTTAACTTGAAGTTATGCACCGTTTGCAAAAGCAATACGAAGAAAACGTCCATGGATTTTGCATCACGATAATGCACTTGCTGAGTCATCGTTGCTTGTGTCTCCCTTTTTGACCAAAAACAAAACCACAATCATGCCCACATATTAACCGGATATTGCCCCCTACAACTTTTTCCTGTTTCCAGAACTCAAAAAACCCATGAAAGAAAGGAGGTTTGGAAGGATTGAGAAGATAACGAAAAAATCGCTGGAAGAACTCAAAGCCATACCAGAAGTGCGTTGAGGATGTGAAAAACGTTGGTACAAGTGTATTATATCTAGGAGGATTACTTTGGAGGGGAAAAACATTAATTTTGATGAATAAATAAATACTTTTTGATAAAACTTAAAAGTCTTACTTTTTGAACACACATCGGATATTAAACCAACGTATGGGATTTTAGTTAATCATGCAAATAAACAATATCTACATAAAAGTAGAGCAAAAAATAAAAATCATGAAAATTGCGAAAATGTATTATTATATACATTTATTTGTATTCTTAAAATATTCTGGATCCATGCTTATGCTTTCTATTCTCTGTTTCCGTTTTTTGTAATTGTTTTGCTAATTACATTAGAATGTCCGATTGCACTATTCTGTGCCAATATAGACTTGGTTAGCTTTGATTAGTTAGTTAACTAAGATGAGGTTTATTACATAAATATGTAAATGACAAGGAGATTTACAACTTTTCTTTTGATAGGAAATAATATCAAGTTACAAGGAGACGTTGAAAAAAATTAAATACACTTACCTGAGAAGCAAAGTAACTGAAGATGCAAGCAGCAGTACCCAAGTCCAAAATATTTCGCCATTTCTGTAATAAAAAATTGCATAGAATTGACTACATTATAAAAAAGTTATGCTAGTCTACTATTTTGTTAAAAGGAGTATTCGACGTATGTGAGCGGAATCTAAAATAATTTACCAGAAAGGGGTACAACTAGGAAGTAGTAGAAAATTAAAGCTGTCGGCATAGTTTACCATACTGCTTAGACCAAACTATTTTTCGCCAACAATTTACAGACAAAAACGGAGAACAGAAAACAAAATTTTTTTCTTTAGACGCTGATCATTTCTATATGGGAACCCTATGAGCTACGAAAGTAACTGGATGTCAAAAAACTTTAATTCAGAAAACACCCCAGAAAACACCATAAATCATCTAAAACGCGATTCAATTAATTAATTAATAGTTAATCAATTATTTAATGAAATAAAGAATTAATAAATTATTTGCTTAATTAATTGCAATTTCCCATAGTTGATTAATGCTGCTGAAAATGCGAAGTGTAACAAGTAATTAACTAATTAATTAATAAGAGTCTTAATACTACGACAAATAAACTCATCAACAGTTGCCCAACACAATCACGAAACCGGACATCAAATTTTATTCGATAACACTAAAATTCTTGCATGCAATCAATTCTTCTACCCACGAAAAAAATTATAGAAATCAATTTTACCTTTTACCAATATGGGAATCAGTCATCCGAGACGATGTTAATGTCCCTCCTCAAACAATATATAATCAGGGAAAGAGTAAAATGGGAGCCAGTTTCATTTATGCTCTGAAGAAGCCAACAAGATGACTGGCGAAACGCCAGCAAGTTCGATTCATCAACAACCGACAAACAAAGAATCCAGAAGATTTGTAAATACACTTAAATGTTTTTTTATTTAAAAATTTAAGATCTTTTCTACCATCTCTGATAAAATAGGCAGGATACTTATCAGTCTCAAATCATTATAGCTTTCTATATTTTATTTTTTAGCAGTTGGTAAAATTTTAGCAATTTTCTAGGAAAAAAATACCGTCTAGAATACAAGAATTCATCTTTTTAATAAAAGAGAGGATTGTGCTCTGCTCCCGTAGCTAAGCAAATGTTTTTAACCACACTCTCCGAAACAGTATAAAAAAAGAAGGTAGAAGCAATTCAGTTTTTTAGATTGCTTTAATAAAAGTTATTAAGTTCTTTATCGGTGGGATTTTTAAAATTGTCTGTTAAAGAATTGAATTATTTTTAGAGTGTACATTATTATTATGAAAACTTTTGAGCTGTTTACATTGGCCTTAATTGCATACTGGATTGCCAAATTAGTTTGATTTTTCATTTGCTTATAGAAATTCCAACTAACAGCGGTTTTGTTTTTTATATTTTGCAAGAGCTTCGTTGCTTTCGCAAAATGAATGAAATTCATTTTTCGCGAAAGAATCTACACTCGTATAAAAATTTTATATCTCGGTAAGGGTAGGTCCTAGGGGACTGAAATTTCGGTACAAATTTTGATCATTTTTAACAGTCCACGGGATGCATAAGATTTTTTTTAAAAGGGCGGAGATGAAACCTCGGCGGCCATCTTTTTTTTTTCGATTTTCAACTGTTTTTTGGACATCGCTATGAAACACGATAAGTGCCCGAAATTGAAAGCTATCGACTTCAAATTTGGCATACATATGGAGCTTAGCTCCGTGGCGAAACCTGTTGAAATTAAGGGGGCTGTGGAGTAGGGTAGTATTTTTAAAAAATAAAAATTCTCGTTTGCAAGATTCTAAGAAAAAGATCTTTTCTCTAAAACTCCATCGAAACAATTTTTGAACGAGAGGATCTGCGAGATTAAATTCTATAAACTTTTATTCCTTATAATTTTCAGATATACAGGATGTGATCGGTATTTGCAAAAAACTGAAAATAGGAGTCCCCTTATAATGGTAATTGACGATAACTAGAAGGCTGTGCTTCAGTTGTCAGTTTCTTTTACATGGTCATATTGCTCGTATGGACAGCTAAAACTTTAGTATTTAAGGTTTTCATCTATTGTACAGAGTGTTCAATTTATTCCGGGATATATTAAAAAATATAGGAAGTGCCTTAAATTTGAAGCTATCGACTTCAAATTTTGCGGAGAAGTAGAAGTTCACAATTACATTTACATTACATTACTGGGTGCCATCGATTATCACGAAGTATTTTTTTCAAAAATTGAAAAAGATTTTTGGGTTATTTTGTCTTCCAGAAAAAATATTGTCTCAAAAACTATTAACCCGATAGGCAAAATTCTTGAAACAAAAGACGCGGGAGATCCGGTACTACAACCTCTATTTTAAGCATTTTTTCGATAATATACAAGGTTTTTCAATGATAGACAACAATCTAAAAGACCTTGAAAATTCTTCTTTTCCAGAGTAAATTATTTGTTCTAAATAAGTATTATTTTTTCGAAAACCATTTACTCTATTGGAAGAATTGATGTACCAGAAAACGTGGGAGATTCAGAGCTCTAACCTCTACCTCGAATATTTTTTAAATTTCATGCAGAGTGTATTGTTCTTGGGCAAAAAAATCTAAGAAAGCAAAAAAATTTCCATTTTTGTGGGTAAATTATTGGCTGTAAGTGAAAAACGAAAAAAACATAAGATAATTTGGTTAAATCAGTATGGTAAACTGTGTCAAGAGCTACAATTTTTTGATTTACAGTTCTTGTCAATTATACAGGGTGCGCGGGATATTGCAATAAAAATATTATTGTAAATCACTATTATTGGTACAAATTTTGATATTTACCAAAGTTTGCGATGATTTTGTTTTTCGGCGGTCATCATAGGCACTTCAAACACGGTGTGCGTCTAATAGAAAAACAATGTAATCTTTTAAGGCAAGAAGCCGCAAAGCGAGACTTTTTTTTATGGTGGCTTAATAGCTTTCAAACTTACTTGACGTAAGTTTAATGGAATAAACGATAACTTAATTTTTTTCACAAAAACTGGCGGTATTCGCTTGTGACATTTGAATGAAGATGTGATACTAAGTTAGGAATATATCGAAATCTCAAATAGCAAACGTGCATAAAGTATTTTAGAAACATTTGGTCCTACGCAGGCAAAAGTTTTATATATAAATATTTCTTGGGTAAGGTATATTGCGAATAATTAAATGATAAGATAAGAATGTTATTTATTTAAATGCTTACGCAGATTTAGAAAATTTTAAAATACCATCGAGACTCGTTTATACTTCAAAAACGTTCCAGGCTGACACACGAATGTAACAGCAATTCGTCATGATCCGGCTTGTGTTCTTGATAATTGCGGGATCGCTCTTGGTGAATTCCCGCGTGTTACAAGATATCAGGGACAAAGAGGGGAATCCGATATGTGTGTGCCCCAGAATTTACTTTCCAGTTTGTGGTTCCAACGCAAAAACCTATTCGAACGCGTGTTTATTTGATTGCGAGGTTTACAGGTTGAAAAGGACCGGCCTTCAGCCTATAAAATTACACAGGAGAGGACGATGCGAGGACTTGTACACGCCGCGACGGCAGTTCGAAACAGCTAACATAATGAACGAGCCTCAACTGTTGGAAGTTTGAGTTATTTAGTGAACGAATTTCCATTACATCATTACACCTCGGAAATAATTGTGTTTGGCGTACAAACTGGAAAAATAAATATTTTTGCCTTACCGTGTTTACATTTAGTATTTGACCTAATACTAACCGACTAACACGAATTCCCGAAGTACGATTTAATAATAATAATAATAATAATAATGATGTTTTATTCATCCATATAAATGACAAATATATGTGTTGGACAAGTTAAAAAGCAAAGAAAAAAAAAATAAAAAAATGTATTAAATACAGCACAATTTTTCAAATTTTTAAAACATAGGAATAAAATAAACACAGATAATTTAATATTAATTTAAAACGTGCATGAAATGCTTGCACACTCTAAGTCTTCGAAAAATACTCCGTATGCCTCTGTTATCAGAATCACTTTCAATATTCTGATCTGCAATATATTGAAAGTAAGACATCCTGCATATTTTTTATAACTGCAATAATTGTATGCATTCAATTTTAATTGATCTTTATTTCTAGTCAGGTATTTATGTGTGTCCCTTTCTCTGTGACATAGATAACTACGAAAACTTCATATGAACATATGTCTTAAACGTCTTAACTTTTGAGATACAGTGTGGTAAAATTTTCAAAAATAAAATATTTCCTTTTAATATCTAAACCATATTATATATTTTAATGAAATTTAGCGCACACGTTCTTTTTTAAAAACCACCAGAGGAGACCTACGGAATTTTACCTCTCTATTTTGACAGATATTGATTGTACGCTACTGATTTCTCTTAAAATAAACATTACTCTTACAATCCCCAATCATTTCTTAAGAAATTTAATTTCTTGATTTTTTTCATTCATCATTCATCGTAACATCGTTAATATGACAGCATGCAGATAAAATGATTTTTATTTTTAAGTCAATACCGTGCGACGAAGTAAAAAAAAAAACTAAGAGAACAAATCTGTTCATAAAACTTAAGTATTAGCCTACCGACAGTTGTACATTTTTTATACTACTGTCTAAATTGCAAAATATTGGAATAAAGGGTGTAAGTTTGACCTTGATAGCAAGTTATTTCAAAGGTAGATGCCAAGTTGTAAGGGTTAATGGTATTAAAAGTCAGCAAGTTCAAACAAATGTTGGAATACCTCAGGGCTAAATACTTGGACCAATACTGTTCATTATATATATAAATGATTTTGGAAATACTACTGAAACAATGATACCAGTGAAAACAAATTCATGGCTCGAACTTTCCATAGCCATGTCCTCAACTCATATATACTCCTGGCTCTATCAAAATAAACTAGTACTCAACACAGACAAGTCTATTTTTGGAAAAACTATAGAGACTTTGTTCCACAACATTTTAAAATCAAGATTAATGGTGTGAGTCCGAAAAGAGTTACGTCGCTAACACTATATGTTTTTACAGACATAAGGAAATACTAACAAGAAAGCAGTTATTACAAATTTATTATGGTCTTTTAAATAGTGTTAATGTGTATGCGGTTATAGGCTGGGTAGGTCTCTACTGTTCATCGTTTAACCCGCTGGATCGGCTTCAGAAGCGTATTCTTAAAATTATTGGAGTAAAAGAACTAGATGCAGGTAGATCATTGAGTATGAATCAAGCGTTTTGAGTGAATTCAATAGTATATCAATAAAGTGAATTAAAAAATGAATATATACAAAATCAAAGGATCACTCGTAATAAAAGTGTTATTATACCGCGACACCAATTGGCTCTTGGACTAAGAAGCTATATATATTATGCAGTGAAATATTGTAACCTAATGAACTGATAAAACTCAATGTCGACAAAAAAGTGCTTAAAAAAGTTAAAGAAAACATTAGATTAGTAAAAATAAAATGAAAATTATAAAAAAGATTGTGTAATCGGCGTGCAACTCACAACCAATAGTAAGTAGTTGTGAGCTTTTGTAAGTAGTTGTAAGTTATTTTGGGGCCCACCTATGTACGGGCAGTATTTGCCCCTTATAGATCCTCTACTGCAAAAATATTTTTTTGCCAATAAATATTATTATTTAATTATTTGGGGTGTAAGGGGTGATGGCGAGTATAGTCGTAGAGTATAGTTCAAGCCAACCCAAATGTCAACATCCGTTGCACCCTGCCAGACAACAAACGAGGCTCTGACGACCGAATGTCTGCCGGAATAACCAGGCCACCTCAGCATTGCCAACAGCCTCTATGGAGGGTGGAAGAGCAAGCAGGGCTTGGGGCACTCTCTTGTCCTAGGAGCAAGAAATTGCTCCTAAAGGCGGATGAACTAAAGATAGTCAACGGCAGCGGAATGCAGAAGGCAAGGAGAAACCACTGTATTAAGGATACCAAAGGATATCTCAAGAAAAACTTATGGCAAGATGAAAGTAAATACAATGGCCCCTAATCCGTGGCATTAAACGTTATTAAAACAGACTGTACAGCACCGCTTAATATAGGTACGTGGAACGTTAAGAGTATGTACACACCGGGGAAGATATACAATATAAAACAAGAGATGGACAGACTAAACGTGGACATCATGGGTGTCAGCGAAACAAGATCTCCCACCAGCGGAAAAACAAAGGTCGGCGATTCAATAGTATTACACGCCGGCAACGATGATGCTAAGCACCCCAATGGGGTGGTTATTATTCTGAACTCAAAAACGAGCTCGTCCTTGCTCAACTTCATGCCCCTCTCTGATAGAGCCATGATGAAACAATTGAATGCAAAACCTAAAAATCCAAACATTATTCAAGTATATGCCCCAACCGCTGATAAGACCGAAAGAGAAATTCAAACATTTTATTCGGAAATAAAACAACTTCTATCCTACAGCAAGTATGATGAGGTCACCCTTATTTTGGGAGATTTTAATGCCAAAGTAGGCTAAGGAAAAAGCCAGGATGTCGTAGGACAACACGGACTGGGAGAAAGAAACAAAAGAGGAGATAGATTAGTTCAATTCTGCCAGGAAGAGAAATTATTTGTCTCCAACTCATGGTTCAAATTACCAACAAGACGTCTGTATACTTGGAGGTCGCCACAGGACGCACCCGATCGCCCTGTTCGAAATCAAATTGACTTTATATTAGCCTCCAAGAGATTCAGAAACAGTATTCTTAGTGTTAAAACTTACCCAGGGGCAGATGTTGGCTCAGACCATAACCCAGTCATCGCCAAGATCAGATTGAGGCTCAAGAAGCTCAAAAAGAAGTCCTCCAGAAAGCCAGACTTGGACCACCTAAGAGATGAACAACAACGACAGGCAGTATCAGATCAGCTAAATAAAAGACTAAGTGAAATCCGACAACCACACAATATACAAAATAGGGAGAGTGTAAATGTAAATAAAGTAGAGGACATCTGGGAGCAGCTCAAGGTCTCTCTGCTGGAAACCCAAGAACAATTAGCGACAACAAACAACAAGCGACCGCATAAAACATGGATGACCGACGAAATATTACTCTTAATGAATAAGCGCAAAGGATTCAAACAAACTCATTTGCAGAAATATAAAGAAACACAGTGCATTATTAGACGCAAAATTAGGGCAGCTAAGGAGTCCTGGATGAAGGTGAAGTGTCAGGCGATGGAGGAACTTATTACAAAACACAACGCATTTAACATTCACAATAAAAGAAATTACCCGAAGCAGAAAACAACAGCTCCACATAAAAATCTTAGATGAAGAAGGCAAACTGGCAACAAACCACGAAAAAGAAGAAGAAGTCTGGGTAAAATATGTATCAGACATTTTTGATGACAATCACTATTTCTATGACAATCAGATCCAACTAGAACAAGGACCAGAAATAATCGCGGGCGAAGTTGAAAAAGCCTTAGATGGTCTTAAAACCCGGAAAGCGGCTGGCCCAGATAATATCTATCCAGAGTTAATCAAGCTTATCAAGAAAGAAAACTTAAAAATCGTAGTCCAGTTCTTTAACAGCATTTAAAAAACGGGGGTTATGCCACAAGCAATATTTCGGCAAGTATTGAGAGAACTGGAAGACGGCATTAGAGTAAACGGAAGACTAATAAATAATTTAAGGTATGCGGACGACACCGTTATAATTGCTGACAGTCCCGAACGTCCTCATAATAAAATAACAACCGTAAGTGACCGCATGGGGCTACAAATAAATACAAAAAAGACAAAAACGATGGTAATAAGCCGAACCCCGAACCAGCCTCTGGAGATAAGAATACGCGGGACAGTTATTTCAAAAGTGCAGAAATTTTGATATTTGGGTTGGTTGGTGAAGATCTAAATCCTGATGTGGAAATAAGAACAAGAATAGAAATGGTCAGAGCAACATTTTTGAAAATGCGAAACTTGCTAAGTGACAAAAGCCTTAACACCCAAATCCGGTATAATTTCGTTAAATGCTATGTGTTTTCTGTGCTATTGTATGGGGTCGAGTCGTGGACGCTAAAGACTAGTACGCTAAACAAATTAGAGGCGTTAGAAATGTGGGTTTATCGACGTATGCTGAGAATACCCTGGACTGACCATGTAAATAACGAAGAGCTATTACTAAGAATGAACAAAGAACGGGACCTCATAAACATCATTAAAAAAAGGAAAACGGCTTACCTCGGACACATCATGAGGGGCAATAAGTATGCATTTCTAAAACTTATAATAGAAGGCAAAATTCAGGGCAGACGAGGGCCGGGGCGGAGACCAGGCTCATGGTTAAAGAACGTGAGGGATTGGACAGGGCTAGACTCCCACACATTGCTGAGGAGTGCGCAAGATCGAAACGAATTTGCCAATATAGTTGCCGATCTTCATTGAATGGAGTTGGTACCTTAAGAAGAAGATTAGATTATTTTATAACTACTTTAGTGGCGTGTTCGAGCCGAATAATAGTCCTATACTTCGTCTAGTTACTCAGGTAGGATTGTCGATATCTACAATTTTTCGGAAAAATTAGGCTTTAGATCCAAAAAAGGGACCATGGTCTGATGGCATACCTTCGCAGATTTTAAAATATTGTTCAACTTCGGCAACGCCTCTCAATATCATTTTTAATAAATGTTTAGCACAGGGCACATTTCCAAAAAGTTAGAAAGTTGCACAAATTGTACCTCCTAAGTCCTAAGTCGTTTAGCCATGAAGCAATTTATTTTTCATGCTAAAAAATGACATAGACGTGAATCAACATGGATTTCACAAGAGACGGTACTTACAAACCAATTCCTTTTATCCATAATATTAAACTTTCTATGTACAATGGCTTTGAGACCTGTCCCGTGTACTCTAACTTTTCTCAGGCTTTTGACAAGGTTCATCGTCCCTCTTTGGTAAAGAAGCTTGGAGATTTTGGTGTACAAGGCAACTTACTCTGTTTGTTGCAAAGTTACGTAACCCATAGAACTCAGTTTGTGGTTTTGAACTGCGAATAGTCGCTTTATGCGAACATAAAGTCTGGAGTCCCTCAAGGGTTACACTTATTTCTCAATATTTTTATATTTGATATTTGAAACTTTTTTCAACAACACCCTGATTCGCAGAATAATACAGTTTACAAGAAAAAAAGAATCTATTATTATCTTAAAATTAAAACTTAAGAGAGTTACTTAAGTTAAAGATTTCGGCATCGTACTGGACTCTGATTTAACAGGCTTAAAGTACCACAGGCTTTAGTAATCACAAATCATTTTAATTGATAACAGCGTCATCAGATTTATCTTGGAATACTCATCCACTGTATGGAATCCGACCTGTCATAAGTATCTCGTTCGGATAAAGAGTGTCCAAAAAAAGACAGACACTACTTTTCATATGAAAATAATCTACAGTTTTTAGAAATGCTAGTCCTTATAGAGGGCGCACTACCGTAACTTTTTCTATACAAAGAGACAGATCTGACTATTTCTTAAACTCTCCGCTTATAGATGTTTAAAAGAAACGTATATAAAATTTTTAACATTCTTTTAATTACTTACTGCCTATTAGCTTAGGAAATATCCAGTTGTGTTTCTTTTGTAATCTTATGTTTAATATGCGCTATCCTGTAATTGGCCAGCCTTATCTGCCTGTTGGTTAGCCTTTGGGCTTGTAAATAAATAAATGAATAAATATAATACAAGGTTCCAATATATTGAGTAATAAAAATTAACTTCTAGAAGCTTCTGTGAACGGGAAGTGCAAAACAAATGCCATTGGTCACTTAATGTGTGGTGTGGAATAAAACACTTTAAAGACATTGGACATATTTTTTGTAAACCACTTAACGGGTCTAGATATTCAAACTTCTTGCAAAATGATTTAACTGACCTTTTTCATGAAGTTGATAACAAATGTGGTTTCAGCAATATGAAGCTCCCCCGCGTTACCATCGAGAAATTCAAAAAATTTTAAAAATTGAAAATTCATTCTAGTGCTAGTTGTCTGTTGCTTTAAATACGGCTCTAACAAAGTTCTTTCTTTTGTTCATTTATTTATCTTAACAGAGCGCTGTTTGTTAATAATTTTACCAAGCCAAATTTTAATAATACAGAAAGAAGGACAAATATTGGAAAAGTTAAAGTAAATCGCAAAGTATTAAAAATAGGTTTATGACATACTCAATGAAAGTTATAGATTTTTGTAAGATCTTTCAGAAAAAAATATAATATATATATATATATATATATATATATATATATATATATATATATATATATATATATATATATATATATATATACATTTGAATTTAAAATAAAATTTGAATAAAAATAAGTAAAATTCCGTTGCAAAATATGACGTTATTTTTTTTTGTAAAAAAATAAATATTGCAAAAACTGTTAGGTTTAGGTATGTGTTATTGTTAATAAAAAGTTAAACAATTTAAAAAAAAAGTTTTTTTGAGCCACCCTAAAATCTTCACTACTTTTGTATTTTCCATTTTCTCATGACTTTTGAAACCTGTGAGGTAATGTACTCTATATCTGGCTCACCCTGTACATACGTAAATGAAATAGAGTTAAACTTTTTGACATTAAAATCTAACAAATTATTGAAATTGATTAATGCCTTGTTCTAAGTCATTTATAAATGATAATAATGGTAGCGGGCCCAGTGTTGATCCCTCTGCACTCCAGGTGGAATAAGAAATCGTTCGGAATTATTATTATTATTATATATTATATTGGTGCACCGTGGTCTAAGTCGCCTGAAGACCGATTATAATATAATATAATTGTTGAGTTCAAAATTATGTGAATTTCTTTTTAATTTGTGTATCTTAAACATGCCGGACATTTCAGTCAATGTGACAACAGGGCGTTGTACGCCAAACCGGCAAGGTCTACGTTTCTGCTAGGCGAGTAACAATTTTGTAGCGTTACGGGGTAGACGTTCACGGCATGGGTCGCGACGTCGCCACAAAGTGAGATACAGTCCATTTATAGAAAAGCAAAATTCAATAAATATTAAGTGATTGAGGAAACGCTTGTATTATTGAAGAAACATGTGAAAATTGTGAGGGAAACGTTTACGTGTCCGTAAACGAACGCCGGCAAGCAAAAAAGCGCAGCTGAGACAAGACGGAGCGGCGCGGTGCACAAAGCATTGTTTGAAGGTCGTCGGTGCGGTGCCGTGGAGTTTATCGGCGAGCGCGGCGCGGCGTTGGAAATTGCACGTGCGGGCCGTACGATCACGCAGCGTTGCTACGACGCGACGGAGGACGAGACAGTAAGGGCCGGACTTAAAAAAAAAAGTCGCCGTTAACCTGTAAGTCGATCCTTTTCAAACCTTTGTTGGATTTTGTAGTTTGTGGTCTCTATTTTGTGTGTAAAAAGTCAGCAAAATGGCTGAGCAATTAAACCAATTAATTAGAAAGCGAGCTAGTGTAAAAGCGAGCTTATCTCAATTTAAAAGGTATTTAACAAATTTCAATGTGCAAACTGAAAGCGCATCTTCAGAAAAAGAAGTGTTTATGCAATTGCAATTTAGAACAGAGAAAATAATCGAGTTATTAGATATTTTTGAACAATATCAAAGTGAAATTGAGTCATTATGTTCGGAAACAGATTTAGAGAGCCAATTTAATGAAAGGGAAATTTTCCAAACAGAATTTTACAATATTGTCGCAAAGGCAAAAAATATTTTGGGTGATTTTAATGATACGAACAACAAAAATGAGTGTTTGCAAAATATTACGCATTCGGATTCCAACTCTGTCATTTTTCAGGAAAATTTACTGCCAAATTCTACTGAAACGATGGGTGTACGATTACCTTTAATAAACTTACCAACGTCTGCTGGAAACTACTCAATGTGGTTGGAATTTAGAGACACGTTTGATAGTTTAATTCACAAGAATAAGTCGATTGGCTACATTCAAAAGTTTCACTATTTGCGTGCATCACTTGAGGCTCCAGCAAAGGAGGTAATTCAGTCATTAGAATTTAGCGCTCCAAATTATGAGATCGCGTGGGACATTTTGTGCAAAAGATATGACAACAAGCGTATTTTGGTGCAGAATCATATTACGGGGATTTACGATATACAGCCCATAAAATATGAATCTTCTTCAAGTTTGAGAAATTTAATTGATAACGTAGACAGGAACTTACGAGCCTTGGAAAATTTGGGAGAACCTGTAAAATTTTGGGACACGTTAATTTTGTATCATTTAGGCACTAAACTTGATCGCGTAACATTAAAGGAGTGGGAATCTTTTAAAATAAAATGCCTGATGTCTGAGTTAAAAGATTTTAAGCAATTTCTAAAAAGCCGTGCATGACTTGTTAGAGACCTTGGAAAACAATTCCCGGACAAAATTGAAGGAAAATTTAACCGGGCAAAAACAAAGGGTTTTTGTTGCTGGGGTTGAAAAAAGCAAGTGTGTTATTTGTAAAAGCGGTCATGACATCAGCGAGTGTAAGAAATTTTTGGAGCTAACAACCAGCCAGAGAACTGCGCAAATAAAACGAAACAAATTATGCATGTGTTGTTTTTCGAACAAGCATTTTAGTTTTAATTGTCAAGGGAAAAAATGTTCGCAGTGTGGTTTAGGGCATAATGTTCTATTACATTTTTATAACCAACGCCAAACTGAACCTGTGTTGAAAGTGCCCCAATTGCTGACGTACAAAAGGCTGTAGAAGCGTCTTCAAAGGAAGGAAGTAAAACCTCTGTGGCGCTATCGAGTAGAAATTGTGGGACTCAAGGTCAGGTGTTACTTTCTACAGCGATTGTCAAAATAAAAGATGTGAGTGGCAATGTGCATCATTGCAATGTTTTGTTAGATTCAGCTTCAATGAGCAATTTTATCACTGAAAAAATGTGTGACAGACTTCAGTTAAAAACAAAAGATGCGAATGTGTGTGTGGTTGGGATTGGTCAAAACACTGAAAAGATTTCGAAACGGTGTGAAGTAGAAATCAGTTCTCAGAAAGGTGATTTCAAAATTCCTATCAGTTGTTTAATCATTCCGAAAATTAGTGATGAGATTCCTTTGTGTGAAATTGAGTTAGGACCAATAAATCTTCCAGGAAATATTTGTCTAGCAAACAGTGAATTTCATTTGCCTGATGAAGTGGATATGTTAATTGGTGCAGGTGTGTTCTGGAAACTCATAAGAGTAGGAAGAATCGAATTAGGGGAAAACAAACCTGTCTTACAAAACACTTGGTTAGGATGGGTAGTAGCGGGCTGTATCAGTGGACAAGGATCTCGAGTCAAATCTAAGAAAACGGTGTGCAACCTAAGTATCGGTACAGAGGTACAAGACCAACTGGCCAAGTTTTGGGAACTAGAAGAGCCAGGTGGAGGTCAAATCGAGGGAATGACACGGGATGAAGTTGATTGTGAAAATTTGTTTGTGTCAACAACAAGACGTGATCAGGATGGTCGATTTGTTGTTGCAATCCCATTGAAAATGAGTATTGAAAAGTTGGGAGATTCTCGAGAGATGGCATTGATGAGATTTTACTCTTTGGAGAGGAAATTTGCCAGGGACAAGCAACTACATGTAGATTATTGTGAATACATGAGAGAGTATGAACAAGTAGGTCACATGACTCAAGTAAGTGAGGACATCACGAATGAAAGGTGTTATTACTTACCACATCATGCTGTGAAAAATGAAGGAAGTTCTACAACAAGGTTAAGGGTTGTGTATGACGGCTCTGCACAATCAGACTCGGGTGTGTCACTTAACGATTTGCAATTTTCGGGGCCAAGAAATCAAGAGGATATCATTTCAATTTTGTTGAGGTTTAGACAACATGAAGTAGCATTCTGCGCAGATATCGCCAAAATGTACCGACAAGTATGGGTTAGGGAAGATCAACGCCATTTACAAAGGATACTGTGGAGAGAAAATCCAGCAGAAGAAGTCAAGGTCTACAATTTAAACACGGTGACGTTTGGATTAACCTCAAGTCCATTTTTAGCGGTAAGGTGTTTGCAAGAACTGGCAAAAAATTGCGAACAAACGCAGATTTCAAAGGTAATTGGCAAGGACTTCTACGTTGACGATTTGATATCCGGGGCCTCGTCGATTCAAGAGGCACTTCAGATATGTAAGGGTGTTTGTGAGGTTTTAAAATCTGGTGGGTTTGAGCTCAGAAAGTTCAGTTCGAACAAGAAAGAGTTCTTGGAACAATTTGGAGTAAGGCCCAAGGCAGAATTACAAACTCTTAATCTAGGAGAGCATCAACACAAAACTTTGGGATTGTATTGGGACTGTCAGGCAGATGTCTTTACCTACAGGGTGAGGGAATTTTCAAGTAATTCAAGTACCACAAAACGGAAGATTCTGTCAGAAATTGCCCAGCTGTTCGATCCACTTGGGTTAGTCAGCCCATGTGTCGTCATTCCCAAAATTATTTTACAAAGATTGTGGATTCTCAAGTTGGATTAGGACGATGAAGTACCGACCAATATTGCCCAAGAGTGGAAACAATTTAAGCAAGAAATGGTGAAATTAAACATGCTGCATATTCCAAGACATGTAGGTAGCAACAATTCAGAGGACATCGAACTTCATGGATTTTGTGATGCTGCACAAGAAGCGTTTGGAGCATGTGTCTATGTCAGAATTGTCACGAAGGATGGAAGTGTAGTCGTTCGCTTATTGTGTGCAAAAAGTAAAGTTGCCCCGATAAAGGCACTAACTATACCGAAATTGGAATTGTCAGGTGCATTATTACTTTCAAGGTTGATAAAAGAAGTACAAACTTCCATGACGTTAAATTTCAGGAAACTGTTTTTGTGGAGCGATTCTACAGTAACATTAAGTTGGATAAAATCACCAGCAAATCAATTGCAAGCGTTTGTCGCAAATAGAGTATCTCAAATTCAGTCTATGACGGATCAAGACAATTGGCATTATGTGCGGTCAGAAGAAAACCCCGCAGACTTAGTATCTCGGGGACTTTTTCCTTCCAAGTTGTGTGGAAATAAATTGTGGTTTGAAGGTCCACAATGGTTGTCACAAGATTTCTTTCCAAATCAGGGTGTTAATGTATCTTTAGAGGAACTTCCAGAAAGGAGGAAGCAAGTAAAAGCTTTTTTGAATACAGAGAAGAATAGTCTAGAGATTTTTTCCAGATATTCCAGTTGGACAAAATTGAAAAGTGTATTTGCATATTGCTTAAGGTTTACGGCACGTTGCAGAAAATTGGATAGTCACGAATCAAAGAATTTGACAGTGAAGGAACTCCAAGAGTATGAAAAAATGTTAATAAAGTTATCACAAGATGAATGTTTCGAAAATGAGCAGAAAATCTTGGAGACCGGTGAGAAGATAAAAAAGGGTTGATTGTCAAATTTAAATCCGTTTCTAGACGTCGACGGCTTAATCAGAGTAGGCGGAAGACTAGCGCTTTCAGAATTTAAATATGACAAAAAATTCCCAATTGTGTTAGACCCAAAACATCCATGTACAAAATTGATTGTTAAGGCAGAGCATTTGAGACTACTGCATGCAGGCCCTCAATTAGTGCTCAGTTCATTAAGGGAAATTTATTGGCCACTAAAGGGCAGAAATGTTGTGAGAAAGGTGGTGCATGAATGTGTTGTGTATTCGAAGGTTCAACCTAGGTCCTTTGAAATACAGATGGGAAACCTACCTAAGTCACGAGTGATTCCACAATTTCCATTCAATACCACAGGGGTTGATTATACAGGGCCGTTCAATTTTAAAATAGCTTTGGGACGGGGCACGCGTTTGTACAAGGGGTATGTTTGTTTGTTTATTTGTTTTTGCAATACATTTAGAGGCTGTAACAAGTCTGTCTACGCAAGCATTTGTTGCAACTTTCAGGAAATTCGTGTCTAGGAGGGGCAAACCAGAAAAAATGTTTTCAGACAATGGCAAAAATTTTGTGGGTGCTCAGACAGAACTGAGAGAGTTGGGAAAATTTTTGCGTAATAATCATGTCAGTTTAAAGACATTGATTGCGACAGAAGGAGTTAATTGGTCTTTTATTCCGGCATATTCGCCTCATTTTGGGGGTTTATGGGAGTCAGGGGTAAAAAGTGTGAAATACCATTTAAAAAGAGCTGTGGGCAAGGCAAATTTGACTTATGAGGATTTTTCTACTTTGTTGTGTCAAATAGAGGCCATTTTAAACTCACGTCCTCTCACTCCAATGTCCTCTGATCCTTCTGACTTGGACGTTTTAACCCCATCCCATTTCCTGATCGGAAGAAGGGCAACCTCATTACCGGACCCACGATTGCTCGAGCAACCTGAAAATAGGCTTGCTAGCTATCAACGTATTCAACAATACCAACAAGGTTTTTGGTCTCGTTGGTCACTGGAATACATCGCTGAACTTCAGAGGCGCCTCAAATGGAAGGCTGGCGGGGACACTCTGCAGGAAGGGACAGTGGTGATCGTGAAAAAAGAAAATGTGCCTCCCTTGTGTTGGAAAATGGGACGCATCGTTCAGTTATACCCAGGAAAGGACAACATTAGTCGGGTGGCTGATGTAAAAACGAGTGAAGGTGTCATCAAACGTTCATTCGCAAAATTGTGTCCATTGTTTCACGAAAGTGGGTGAGAAAAAAACTCAGTTCAAGTGGTTTCAAAGGTTGTCTAAGACAAATTGATTTTCAAGAAATGTTTGTTTTGTTGTTTCTTTTTTTTTGAAAGAGGGTTCTTTCAAGGCTGGGGGTATGTTGAGTTCAAAATTATGTGAATTTCTTTTTAATTTGTGTATCTTAAACATGCCGGACATTTCAGTCAATGTGACAACAGGGCGTTGTACGCCAAACCGGCAAGGTCTACGTTTCTGCTAGGCGAGTAACAATTTTGTAGCATCACTGGGTAGACGTTCACGGCATGAGTCGCGACGTCGCCACAAAGTAAGATACAGTCCATTTATAGAAAAGCAAAATTCAATAAATATTAAGTGATTGAGGAAACGCTTGTATTATTGAAGAAACAATAATAATAATTATAGAGTATCAGATAGTAGGGGCTACCTCCCAACAATGGGAAAGTCCTTAAATATTGGGCTTTTACCAACTTAATTTTAGTTGTAATTTAGTGTTTTTCGATAGTGGTAGTGTTCAGAGACTTTTAGATTGTGACTTTTTTATAAAATAAAGCGAATTAGTTTGGACTTAAGTTATTTCATAATATTTTGGCAATATGAAACTAACTATATCAGGTATGTAAATTTCATTTTTAGTTATTTAAAAAGGGTAACGTAAAAAATACGTATTTATTAAATTATTCACTGGTTCATTAGGTCCAAAAGTAGCATATACCAGTATGTGCCGTACATAAGGATTTGAACTAACAGAATGACTCATTATCTTTTAAATTTGGTGCATGCGTTGAAAAGTATAGCGAAAATGATGCATAGATATATAATTGTTGGTATCGACTGACATTTTTATTTTGAGAAGATTAGTAATTAAATCACAACCTTGTACACCGGTTCAATTTACTAACTAAAACTAAAAACAATTTAAATAATTTTAAACACCCTGTATATAAAATAATAAAGCCAGATTTCACAAAATATGATATACTAGATGCAATAGTGATATGTAGAGAAAATTAAAACAGATATGTTTCTTTGTTTCAGGCTCTTCCTGCCAGGAACTAATTTACAATAGAAAGGACATTTATGAAATGGTGAAGGGACCACCTAGGAGACGAGTTCTCTGATCTACTGAATCATCTGAAAACGGTGATTACTGGACGTAGTGGAAAAACGATAGATATTCGTGAAGACATGAAAGCATAATTTTCTATTCTATTTTCCAAAATCAGACAGAAGCTGAAAGCTGTCAATCGGACCGAGCAAAAATTTTTGCGCATAAAGTATTAATACATGGAAAACAAGTAGTAGAAAATGCGCTATTATCAATTATGCAATTATCTGAGGAAGTTCAAGAGGCCAGAAATAAAGACCTAAAGAAGTATCGTAAAAATTTCTCGAAAGTTTTTTAGTGCAAAAACAATGGAAGATGTTTTCAATAGACTTCTTGTATCCTCCGATCCTTATATCTCTAGCCCTAGGAAGCTTCCAAAGAAAAAACTGACACAGTTTTCAGCCGAAGCACTAGAAATGCTAATATCGAGCGGTTCTCAAGATTCTCAACCTGACTCAGATGAAGATAATGACTTTCAAATTGATTGAATAATAGTTAGTTAGTAGTCCTTAAATTTACCGTAATTAACAATACTTAAATTCCGTGTAATAATTAGTAAGAGTTCTTAAATTTACCTTAATTAGAAATATCTTTTAGTTTTTCTGGTAACAATAAATATATTTAATATATTTAATAGCATTATCTTTATTAGAATTATATTGGAGGTAGCGAGGTCAAGACTTAAACTACTCTCCAGATACCTAAGAAATATTGAATAATCTCTGACAATTAAGACACAATTTGTAAATATTTTCTAAAGTTTGTTTCTCAACATCTCTTATAATTAATCCTCCTCCCTGTCCCCCCATAGCTCATTATTGTTACTACTTATTACAACATTACATGAGCCAAATTTCGCTATGGATTTTTTAAAAGCCATTTTTTTGTCGAATTAGCCAAATGTCAGCCGCCATCTTGTAAATGACATTTTTTTGAGCATTACTAGGGATCAGAGAGCTTGTCAAACCCCAGTCATCAATTTTGGAACAAATTCAACGGTGCTGGGATTTTTGACAGATAATTTAATTTTTGCGACAACTATGTGGCGGTAAGAAATATCTACATCCTTTATTCTTGGTTTCACCCTTTGAAAGCATTGCGGCAGCGGAACCATATCGTTTAAGATTTTATTATTATAATTATAATACTATACAGTCGCATGTAAAAATCTCAGGTAAAATGTTAATTAAATATTTTTATGTAACGGGAAAAACATTTTTTCGGTTTTCCGGTTGTTCGGTCCTCATTTCTTTTGCATAATATATAAATAATTTTTATCGATTCGGATCTAATCACAGACATTTGTTTCAGCTGTAAATATGTATTTTTAGGTTAAACGCTACCTTGTTCTAACGTAACGCGCAATGCGGGACTTGAACTTTCAAGGTCTCGTCGTCTCGGAAAACGTATTACGTCGAGAAAATTGCGTTTTATGGTGAAGTTTTCCAAAAGCACTTGTTAGAGTCAACGCCGCAGATAAAATATTGGGTCAGCGGCGGCAGGCGATTTGCCTTGCGTTTTTACGTTTCTTGACAAGCAAAAAAAATTACATTATTTCTTTTTATTTTCTCTTGGCGGATTTACTTGATAACCTTTTTTTGAAATTTATGGAGACTTTCGTTTCCCCGATACCGTACCTCGTTGCCTTTACTGGGGCACTCGGTATAGTGAAATTTAGAGCTGACGACATAAGGCGACCCATATACTTTTATTAAAACCTGTAAAGTCTGTTCATAGATATAAGAAAGTGACTAACTGATACGAATTAAGGAAAGACCCGGGCAAGCTGTAAGAATGAAATATGGCCGAACAGGTCCGTACTTTGCTTGGAATATAATTATTTGGGGTTTTGTTAGGAAAGATACTAAACAATATTTATTTATTTATGTATGTATTTATGTTTAAATCTAAAATTATTTTTTAATAACCTACTTAAATTACTTAAAATTATTCACATAATATGTCAGTATCACTATCGCTATCATCGCCTTTTCTAATTATTATTTGCAATATGGATATACGATTGTTCTGCTTTTTCTATATGTTTAACAGAATTTGTCCAACTTTGGGGAGAGATGTTAAAAAATTCGGTTTCTATAAGTTTGAGGACATTGTAGTTAACACGGGGAAAAACATTGTTACGACGAATGACAGATTTCAATTGGTGCCAAATATGTTCAATGGGATTAATTATCACAGACGTATCACTTTTGTAGGTTCAAGTTTTGTAAAACCTCAATTAATTGCTTTTTGGCATAATCTTCGTGAAAATAAATGTCGTAATTATACATGTAGTTTTGGATTGTTGCTTTTGTGTCACATGAGGAAGGGGTTTTAGTCAACTGTCTACTGTGATAACTTACATTGTCCATTACAATTACGCCATTAGGAGGAATGTTTGGAACTAGTTTGGTTTTAAACCAAGTTTCAAATAAATCAGCGGTGACGTCTTCAAGGTAATCCAGAGAAGAATCTTTAATATTTTTTGCAGACAGAGAAAGTCCATTCGGAATCCAACCATCTTTAGAGCCAGTATGCAAAATAGTTATTCTTTTACCTCTTTTTGATGGCGCATTTTGCTTTACACTTACCAGTTGAGTCGGGGGTATCATAAGTGTCGAACCAGGTTTCATCCAAGTAAATAATTGGCCTTTGTTGTTCTCTGTAAATCCTATTTTTTTCTAGATATTCCAGTCGCCATTTCCGAATTCTAAAAAATTCCATTAAAACTTAACTTGAATACACTTCCATAAGGTAGTTCTGCCACATTTAACACCGGTTTCATCTTTTTCAAGCCTCCTAATTAAGATATCTAATGTAGGCACGCTTTGTTTCTCGTATAACTCTAAAATTTTACGCCGCATCGCTTCTTTTTTCCCTCGCTGAAATGGGATTATTCACAATTTTCCATACAGTTAATGTTGGAATTTTCGTCAATGTGACCGTTTCTTCTAAAGATGCTTGCTTGCTGGCACCACGTTCAATGAGAGTCAAATAAACATAGTTTATAACTTCCTTAGTCTCAATAGAATAGTGTTTTCTACATTTGGGCGGGAGCATCCCCTGAGATACACTAGACTCGCACATATTCTGCATAATTCGCACACGATTCAACACACGCTGTATTACACACGAAATAAGAATGATTACTAATAAATTTAAACTAAGTAGTATACCAAAACAAGGAATATTAAACACAGGTAGGTATAAAATTATTTTCTATTGCGGACCACAAT